GTAAACTTAATTCTTTCATCAAGTTGGTTAATGAAATTAAGGAATTCACTTAAATTTTCCTTACTATGTGGCGAAATTGCAAAGTAGTCATCCAAGTATCGCATGAGCGCTCTTGGTTGAAGTGGTGACCCGTTTGGTCAAATGATGGGCTTCACTTGTCCTTTTGACGAGTTGTAATATGGTGCTACGAATGGCGAGACTCACTGACGATGCCGGCGAAACGTCTGGGATGGTACCACGTCCACGGTCCTATTTTGGAATTGATGATGCATACAATGGGCTCCGGACTAGGTGCGTTTCTTTAAGTCTTCTTACCCATATGACCGAGTTGCGAAAACAAGGTCAAACAACTTCTATTTTTGATTATGTTTAATCAGCTCTTCAACTTCCTTAAACATTTTAATGAGATTTCGCAGTCTTTGTGCCAATATCTCCGCATTTCTGCATACAATGTACTAACGAGTACTCTTATCCTTTATTCGTTTAAAGTAGGTTTTAAATTCGCTAAATCTTGAACAAGAAGTCCAGTCACTGTCCGATTAATTTAGCGCATAGTCTCAATATATGAGTAATATAGTTGATTGTAATGGCATAGCACATTTCCTTTGTCAACGCTCTCACTATAAATTTTATGTTGGGGGGCAGACCTCCTTTAAATCCACATCCGTCCTGTGACCCAGAGGCACTCGCTGAAGTGTTGCGCTGCACTACCCTGATTCAAATCTCGCTGTGGGTGCAGGTTAGACCTAAACGACGTAAAAACTGCAATCCATCATGGATATTATTATTTTTTGTAAAGCAGAGCTATGTGAAATTCAGTGGGAACGTGAAGCATACTTATATTCTTGCGGGAAAATTAAACTATCAGTATTTCATCTTATGTGATACAAAGCAACTGGAACTCTTTCCCAAATAGTATACCATTAGATGGGGCTAAGTTCAGGATGTAGCTCCATTTAAAATCCGCTTCGGTGTGTTAATCGAGGTTGGGGCACAATATCAGTTGGTCTTCACTACGTGGGTTAAGTTTGTGTGTGTATTGGTGTCCGTCAAGGATAATTAATAATTTATATAACACAGAACTGAATAGAATCATAGGATTAAGTGGGACTTATAACATTAAAGATCAGTGAAGTGTTTCTAAACTTGATTTTAAAATGAACTGAAATGATCCATCTCCCTATTAGCGGTTCCAAATTAAGTCAGATACTGGACCTAAAAAAACAAGGTTAACCTAAAAATATACAACTGAAGGAGACTATGACCAAATCTAGGGCCATACCATCTTGATCTTCAGATCTACGATCTATTTTTTTTATTGCTTACCGTTTTATTATGATAAAAACATTTTTATTTTTACTTAAATTATAATGTTTTCCTATCATTTCTTGGCTAGACTTGTAAATTACTCATTTTGGCTAAAGTTTTTATTCATAGATAATGGTTAAGAAATCTTTAAAAAATTAATATTTATTATCTTGTATGCTTCTGTAATTTTAAAATTGATTTTAATTTATCTTTTTTTGTTCATTCCCTAATAGCTACTTTTGGATCATAGGAAGGCTATAATCGGCCAGCGAGGAAAATTGCTCTGTCAACTATCAGAGCTTTCGATCAACGCCCCCGACTCTTCCTTCAACGAATCATCGACTGTTGTTGGCACAGACGACAGTGAAAGTTCTATAACCTTAGAGCTCTGCAAATCTGGGAATCATTCTAGTGAAGATGTATCGAATAAAGTGGATTCCATTCGTCAGGAATTAGGGGATCTACCTCAGGTAATTTGCGATGTCTACTATTGCTTTTACTAGTTATGCAATATTAGCTAATTTATTTATAATATTTTAGCAATTTACCAATACACCTTCCATAATATTTAATTCAGATGGCTTAGAATTCGTTACCTACCTACCAACTGAATAAGGCTATTTTCTACATTCACTCTCGCCCTTTAATATAAGTTTGCTATTTCATATAAGACAGCTCATTCGCTATTCTTGGCTTTAAAATTAATGCAGGCAACTTTCTAAATAAATTAGGGGCTATTAATTATCATGTTTAGTTGAGCCTCTATTTATATTTCGAGAGAGCTTCATATGCTGGATGCATGGCATAGTTGGAAGTGTGCTCTTTCTTGCTGATACTATATATCGTTAGTTATCTAATCGTTTTATTATTCGAATTAGTGCTTCTTGCCACTATCTCACACGGCACTGAAGATACATGGGCATTGAGATTGATTATATGGATTCTTCTCACTCATTTACTCTTATTACCACACTATTTGAAATGGATAGTGCCTGTGAGACCAGGAAAGGCGGTCTTTTGGTTCCAATGTAAATAAGGTTAGTCGAGGAGGGATGGTGTGAAGTTTACTATAGTTTATTTAACGTTTTTTAATAGTGTGAATGTGTTTACATTCAAAGCGTTGAGTACCGAGTTTATTCTACATCGAACAGAGTGACCTTGGCTAAAACAAAATTACTCGAGCAGACAGAGTAGGGGTTGTGAAATCGAAGATAATAGGGAGTCTGCCTTTTGCAGTTGTAAATATCGGCAACAGTAGAAAAATAGGTGAACTTTGTCTTTACCCTCGTGCGTTCTCTCTAAAAGGATAGGTGAACAAGTAAAGAAATGAGGAATAAAAACTGTGTTCAGAGAAACTATGCCACTTTCTTCAGTCATGCCCATTTTGAGAGAGAAAGTTGACCCATTATCCAGATCGAGTTGCTACAAAAGAATGTGTTCATGTGGTCGCTTTTATGTTGGAGAGACTTGTCGTCCCATTCGACAAAGAGTGGCTGAACAC